TATAATATTTCATGAGTTCTTTGTTTTTCAATGCAGAGTAGTATCCCATTGTGTGAATATACCAAAGCTTCTCTAGCCTTTTGTTTGTTGATGGAAACTTGGGTTGTTTCCGGCCCTTTGCTATTGTGAACAAAGCCACAATAAACATAAATATACATATATCTGCTTGGGTGGCAGTTCTGGTTTCTTTAGGGTATATTTCCAGTAGGGGAATTGCTGGGTCAAATGGTATTTCTATTTCCAACTTTTTGAGAAAGTGCCATAATGAGAACAAACTGCTTCATCTTTTTTTCATAGAGCAGCTAGTGTATTGGCACTACCAATCTTCAGTTACAGCCCAAAACTTAACCCACATCAGGATTCTTGCAACAGAATTGCATAAATAGGGACAGTGGAAATTTTATAAATGAACATGCAAAAAATTCTAAATAGGTTTCTTTAATCACCTTTTAAATCTGTTGTAGTATCTCCTAGAATTACTGGAGCAGACAGTGATGGCAGCCCTGAAGATGTCATTGTTATCCTTAACAACCCTACTTCTTTGGTCTGTGAAGCTTATTCATATCCTCCAGCTACCATCACCTGGTTTAAAGATGGTGCTCCTTTGGAATCTAACCGAAATATCAGGATTCTTCCAGGTAATTAGATTATTTGAGATTCCAAGTATTATTGTGAAAAAACATTGGTAATTAAAAAAAATAGCCATGTTATAATCATGTCATTTTCAATTGATATAAATTTTTATTTACTTACATGTTTTTTAAAATCTTAGATATTCAAACTTAAGCTACCTAAATAAAAAATTACCTAATTTAGCTTTTTAAAAGTCATTCATTCTTTCATTTTCTTTTTAACCTAAATAAAAAGCAAATTAAAAACTTTTTACTGTTGGGTTGATTTCAAATTACAGTGACTATTGTTGACAGAATAGAAGTGATCCATAGGGTTTCCAAAGACTATAAACCTTTGTAGAATCAGTCTGTCGCATCTAAAGCAGATGGTTGGTGGGCTCAAACTGCCAACCTTTCTGTTTAAAGCTGAACACCTAACCTCTGCTCCAGCTGTGAAATTAATTATGAGAATATATTCAAGTATGTTGTTGTTGTTATGTGCCGTTGAGTCACTTGCGACTTATAGCGGCCATGTGTACAACAACAGCCTTAAACTCTGCTCTGTCCTGTGCCAATCTCACAGTCTCTGACACTCCCATCCCAATTATCCCAGTATTCAAGTATAGCATTATAAAAAGGACAGAAACTCTATTTTTGTTTAATTGATCCTTAAAGGAGAGTTAATATCCAGATAAGGAGAGTATACTTATTCCTTCTTGAAGATCTGCTATTTTGAAAGTATTATGAGTATCTTTGAGAAATATCATTTTATCAACAGGGGCGAATATGTGTGAAAAGATGACTGGTAGCAAAAATTTGTGAGTATTCATGGGACATGAATCATCAGGACATAAGACATATGAGGGTAGTGAAACTTTTTTTAAGAATTCAAAGGACAGAACTGTCACTGTGCACTCAAATGGTCCAGAAAACTTTGTTGCAGAATCAGAACTTAAAGAAGACTGTAAAATTACTGATTGAATTTGGCGGGCTGGAAATAAGTTAGCAGAGGTTTCACATCCATCAGTGACTCCAGTGGGGAAAGACAAGTGATAATGATCTTGTTATATATGAGTGGTAACAAGCTTCACCTCCCACGAGTGAAAAATTTATGTGTGCGATAGGGTATGTCAAGAGATAAAATTAGTAAGGAGAGTTGGAATCATGCTGTGAAGGTCTGCTTTAAAGATCTTTGGCTTTATATTTTTGTCAATTTGGAATCGTGAAAAATTGAGGGGGCATAATCGAGCAGAGTAAAAATTGTTTTCACAAGATTAATCTTTGCTGAAACATAGGTAGCTCAATGGGTGTGAGACTGAAGAGGATTAAGGCAGAGGTTCTGTCTATGAACATAGTGAAAGAAGGAACTTGAAGTAGTATATGGAGACATGGGAGAGACAGAATATGTGAGAGTCACTACCACAGAAGACTTGAGAAAGTGACTGTCATCTCATACCTGGCAGTTTTCATATGTATTTCAGTTCATCTTGTACCAAATGTCTATCACAGAATTGGCTTATCTAAAAAGAAAGAAATATGGCTGTTCCTAAGAATTAAAATTATAGTAATTTGTACATACACTGTTTCCACCGTGGTTTCAGAGCACTTTGATCTACTCTTTGTTCAGGAGGCAGGACCCTGCAGATCCTAAATGCACAGGAGGACAACGCTGGGAGATACTCTTGTGTAGCCACTAATGAGGCTGGAGAAATGATCAAGCACTATGAAGTGAAAGTCTACAGTAAGTCCTGACAACTCACTGTGCTTTCTAAACTTCGCCAATTATTCTATTTTAATTCCGTTTGTGATTATGAGTCCATAATTGTTTGTACTCATCATTAGAGATTGTTGTTTATACAGCTTTTGATGGAAGTTGAATTAAACATCATGTCCATGACCTCAATTGCTTAAAGATGTGAGAAAACTAGTCAATTTGTTAATAAAAATCTTGAAGATCGCTGTCTTTGGCACTTCCTTAAGTTCTCTAGTGTTCCTTCTGAATTACTCTCTGAGCTGATTCTCGCCTATTCATGAGTGAAACAATTACATTCACTCTAGCACATGCTCTAGACAACGGTCCCAAGCGAGTTCATCAATACCTTTGAGTTATTCAGTATAATTAAGTTATAACCAAAAGGTAAAGATAATTTTGTCAAGAATAGACTCTAAGTTTCAGGAGTCTCTCCTGCCTCATAAAAGAATGTTTTTCTGATCATTTTTTGTTCTTTTCCTCTGTCTCATTTATGATGCACTTTATACTAAGCTGTGTTTATGGACATGGAAAAAATATAACTGCTCTGTGAAGGACTTCAGCCTCATTGGCAATATAAAGTAATTTCGCATATGGTATCTGAACACTACTAGTTTATAAGTCCTTTGGAAAAAGGAGCAAAGGAAACACCTCTATTGTTTCCTTCTTTTCATATTGCTTGATCTTTATTGTTATTGCTTGAGTATTGCATGTATTTAAAAGGTCAGTACTTAATTTTATAATATTCATTTTATACAGTTCCACCCATAATCAACAAAGGGGACCTCTTGGGGCCAGGTCTTTCCCCTAAAGAAGTGAAGATAAAAGTAAACAACAGCTTGACCCTGGAATGTGAAGCATACGCAATTCCTTCTGCCTCCCTGAGCTGGTACAAGGATGGACAGGCCAGTCACATATTTTTTTCTTCCATTTCTGATGACTTCTTAAGTATTAAAATGATTGATTATAACAACAATTATAAAAGATGTGCAAGTGTCTCAGAATGAAGATTGTCTTTAAAATTGGTTTATCTTATGCAGATACAGGAACTGTAAAAACACTCTAAACAATGCTCACAAATTTTATATTACAGCACTGGGAAATTTTCACAATTGTTTTTGGGTCTATATTAGCAATTGGTTATGATAACCAGGCTACCCTTCCATTAGAGAATTTAGGGGTTCTCTGCTTTGTGATTTTGCAAGACAAGTAAATGTCTGGATGTAAATTACAAATTCAGTGCTAAACATGATTAGATTTAAAGGTACAGTATGGATGTTAATAAACTTACCCAGAATATTTTCTAACCAGATTTAGGTCTTCTAATTTAAAAAAAATGACGAAAAATAGAACTCATTTCTGTCAAGTTGGAACCGGATTATAGCTGACCCTTCAGAGGGTTTCTATGCTATAAATTGCATGGGAGGAGATTATCTTTCTCTCTGAGTCACTGGTGGATTTGAACTGACAGAAAGGATTAGCCTTTAAGTTAGCAGCACTCTACCCTACAGAGGATGGAACCAGAGCCCCCTGATTTTATTTTTAAAGGTAGTATTTTTAATAACCCAAGATGAAGAAGAGGGAACTAAAAGAGAGGGTATGTGCTCATTAAAATTAACTGGCAGTAGTAATAAACTGTAAATAAATGCCAGATCCGTCACAGTTCTACAGTATGGCTTACAGACCGCACACTCTTGTTTCTCATTGAATGGATTTTCTTCCATGCATATTTGGTTTCAAGACATAAGTACTAGTGTGTTTAGACAAAAATAGATTTGCTAGCTGATGTGAATACTGTGCTTAGTACAGATGTTAAATAACTAAGCTCATGTTTGTCCGGTTTTACATTTAATCAACCAAAATGTCAGTTAAATTCAAGTCCTCAAGTTTCAAGTTTTAATTATCATTTTTAAGACACAGGAAAGCTTTTTGTTTTCAAATATCAGATGGATTTTGCAATATGGACAGCTAGAGGAGAAATAAAAAACAAAAACAACCCCCCCCAACAAAAACACCCTCATCTATTTTAAATAAGCAGATTTCATCTGGAAGCGATTGCCAAGGAGAAACTACGGAACTCCCACCATGTTCTGTTTACACTTTCTTTTCTGAGTACAAGCATACTTGTATTACAATATCATTTTCCATGAGCTTACTTGGTAACATATAATTTCTTTATCCTTTAAAATCCTATTATTTTGTATTCAATTTTCTCTAAAGCTTTTCTCATTTCATCTAGTTGCTACATGCACTCGCAAACATACAAATAAAGACTGATATAAAACCCCAAAATTTCCCAAAGAATGAGGCAACTTGATTTTTTATTGTTGTTGTTTGTCATAACCAGAGTTAAATCACAATTGCAATTTCAGACTCTGGAACTGATGCAATAAGATGCCTTGGTTAAACTTTTGCCACTAAATTCTTCTGACTTTGTGTTGGTCTTCTAGAATGTGTACCAAGGAAATACTGGCTTTTTATTTATTTTTTTATAAACCATCTGTTATTTCACTCAGTGGAGAGCAATATTACTTGAGCAAAGAAGAGAAAAACGTCTGAAGATATCTACAATAACGGCCATAAAAAAAGTTTGAAAGACTCTGAGTTTTATTTGTCCATGCTCTAAAGTGTTGTAGGTGTTTTGGTGCAAAAATTTTAAATATTCTATCACACTGTAATCCCTAAAGCTCACAGTTGGAATCCACCACCTGCTCCGCAGGAGAAGGATGGACAAATTTCTCCTATTCTATTAACTGTTTCTGGAAACCAACTGACGGGTGTGTTAGTAGTTGATTCCAACTCACAGAACACAACAACAATATATTTACTTAATTGACTTAATTATGATAATGATCCATTCTTTTTTTTTCATTTTTATTTTATTTTATTTTATTATTTGTGTGTCTGTGTACCGTCAAATCAGTTCTGACTGGTATAGGAGGAGATTTTTTCCTCCTTCTCCAGCACAGCATCTGGTGGATTCGAACCACATACTTCTAGGATTGCAGAGCAGCTTCTTGCCAATCCATTCATTCTTAAGTGTTTACTGAATATCTGTTACTTGCCAAACACTGTTTTATGTTCTTCTAATCCAATCACTAGGAAACAGGAGAGAAAAATTAAAAAGAGAAAAAAAAAGAGGACCTTCCCAAATACTATTTCAATTCTGATTGGAAGAAACAAAAATTAAACAAGGAAACCTTTAAAGCATTAGTAAAATGAGCTAAATGTCAAAGAGAAAACATCATTAGGTAGAATAGAGACTGCTGTTAAAGTAGGGGAAAGCTTCAGTATAAGATGAGGTTACATCAAAGAGTTGAAGAAATTGAAAAAAGCAGACATAAAATAGCTGAGGAAAACATATTGCAAAACAAGGAGAGAATATGCCATGATCAAGTGGGTATAGAATAAGATGGAACTAGCAAAGTAGTTGAGGACTAGATCACAGTGCCTTGTGTTGTCTTTTGTTTCTAATATAATGGAAAGCCACTGAAAACCTTTAAACTAAGTGCCACAGGAGCTCTGGTGGCCTAGTGGCAAGAAGCTGCCCTGCAGTTCTGAAGAGGAGGTTGGGGAATCTCCTCCCATGCAATTAGCTGCCTCTGAAAATTGGCTGGAAGGTCAGGTATGGGTAGATACAAGCTCAATGGTACACATCAACAAGAGTGTTATGGTCTCACTTAAAATTTAAAAGGATTATATTCATTTCTGTGTTCTGGAATAGTTAGAGAGGGTCCAGATATGGCAATACACTATTGGTCCAAGAAATCAATGCTGAAATTAGAAATGAAAGAAGAAGGAAAGAGACAAATGAAAGAGAAGCCCAAGATTTTAAATTTAAAAAAGAGAAGATTAAACCTTGGAATACTGCTATACTAAAAGATTGAGGATTCTTTAATACTATCGTGACCCTGAAGCCAAGGGAACAAAAGTATTTTTTAGTAGAAATAATTTAAAATATGTCAGGTACCACTGACAGAGAAGATTAAAATTTCTCAATAAATTCAACAAAATGGCCATCATTAGTGACCTTGACAGTTAATTTTGGTGAAGCAAAAGAGTCAAGCAAATTTGGAAAGAAAATGGGTAAACTAAAGGGGAAAGATCTGGTGTGAAAAACAATGTATATGACCTTTATGAACTTTGTATAAAATAAAAAAGAAGAGGCAAAAAGGAAATTGGAGACAATTTAGAATAAATTTATTTGGCTGTAAAGGGAAATGAAAAGTTATGGTAATAGCTAGAAGTGATTTATAGTCAAAATAGTTTTCTTAAAAAAATAGGGGAAATTGCACCATTTTGTATGTAGCTAGTAATTATACAGCAAAGTGAAAAGAAACTATTCTTTAAATAAGAGAAGGTATAATGCTGGTGGGATGTCCTTGAGTGGGCCAGGGCATGATCTGAATGGGCAAAAGACTTTAAATGGGCTTGGGGTTTTTACAGAGGAGTGTAATGCAAAGGAGTGTAATGCAATTTAAAGAGCAGAGGAAGGGTGACTTTAATGACTGACTTACCTCTTATCTGTGTTGATTGACTTATCTTGAACTAGGTGACTATAAGGATTGACTTCCCTCTGGCTACAGAAGGAATAGACACTTCAAGGCACATGAGAGGCTGAGTGATTCATAAAATTTCTAGCATTATTTCACAAAACCCTCATAAAAGATATATTTTAAGTTCAATATGGGATCAGCAAAATATGTTTCTAATCATAGAGAAATTTATGTTTCTAAAAAACATGCTACAAGAAATAATATAAAAATAGTTTTATAAAGGATAATTCTTAATGTATAAAAATATGATAACTCCAAACCAATCTGCTTGATCTGGTTAATTTACTTATTCTCTTGCACATTTTATGTTAAATTGTATTGTTCTGCTTATTAAGCCATCAGAAGTATCAGCTACATGGTTTGTCAAAGAGTTTGTTACGGTGGATGCTAACATTCTTTCAATTGAATCACAGCCCCTTAAATCAGATGATCATGTTAATATTGCTGCAAATGGACACATACTTCAAATAAAGGAAGCTCAAATATCAGATACGGGCCGATATACTTGTGTGGCATCCAACATTGCAGGTGAAGATGAACTGGATTTTGATGTAAACATACAAGGTAATACTAATGTGCTTATCATAAAAAGTACAGGTTCTGCCAAAGAAATAGACATTTCACTTGACTTATTTGCAAATTGTTTGTTTTGTCTCATTTTTTTTTCTGTTGACAATAATATAAATTCTTTACTGGAAATTTATACTCAAGATAGTAACAAAGAAAGAATCATCCTATCCTCCAGGATTGTGTTGTGTTGTGTGTTAATATGCCGTTGTGTCGCTTGCAACTCATAGCGACCCTATGTACAACAGCCTTAAACTCTGCTCTGCCCTGTGCCAATCCCACTGTCTCCAACACACCCATCCCAGATTACCCCAGTCACTGAATCAATCCACCTCATAGAGGGCCTTCCCCCTCCTGTGCTGTCCCTCCACCCTACCAAGTATGATGTTCTTCTCCAAGAACTAGTGACTCCTTACATGTCCAAAGTATGTCAGATGAAGCCTCTGAATACTTGCCTCCGAGGAGCAGCCCAGTTTAACCCTTTCCAGGATGAATCTGTTTGTTTTCTTAGCAGTCCATGGTACCCTCAATACTCTTCTCCAGCACCACAGCTCAAAGGCATCAATTCTCCTTCTGTCCTCTCTAGTCATTGTCCAACTCTCTGATGCATAACAAGTGATTGCAAAGACCATGGCCTGTATCAGAAACACCTTAGTCTCCGGAGAGACACCATTTCTCTTCAGTACTTTGGAGAGGTCCCTAACAGCAGACTTTCCCATCGCAATATATCTTTTGATTTCCTGGCTGCCAGTGCCCTTTTAAAATTATGGAATCATTTTCATGGATTTCCCTTTATTATTTTCAAATGTGTACATAATATTAGCGAGCTCTGATGGCCTAGTGGCATGAAGCTGCACTGCAATCCAGAAGGCATGCAGTTCAAGGCCACTAGCTGCTCTTCTGGGAGAAAGATGAAAAATCTCCTCCCATGTGATTAACTGCCTCTAAAAATCCTTCAGAGGGTCAACTACAGGATGGTTCCAATGCTACAGTATACAACAACATCATACATAATATTACAAAACTGTGATCCCATAATAAATGCATCTTGGTGATATTAAATTTTCTCTAGCAATATATCTTGAAGGGTTCTTTACAGCCTTTAGCATGGAAAAGAAAATCATACAAAAATTTAGAATAGTCACACTTGGAATCGAATGATCATTTATGTTCATAAAAATTACAACTCAGCTAAGTGACCGAAGTATTTGTAGACTCAATTTCCTTACTTTAAAAACAATGCCTTGACAGGGTAATGGTGGAATAATTCAATGGGGATAAATTATATAAAATGTATGTGGAGCAATATGTCAACAGAGAACTGCCAGATGTGAAGGCCGTGGTACTAGGAATATTATAGCTAATTTTAGATGGATCTTGGCTGAAAGCACAGAGTACCAGAGAAATGTCTATCTGTGTTTCATTGACTATGCAAAGGCATTTGACTGTTTGGATAGCAACACACTGTGGCTAACTCTGAGAAGAATGGGAATCTCAGAACATTTGATTGTGCTTATGTGAAACCTATACTTGGTCCAGGAGTCAGCCATCAGAACAGAGCAAAGAGACTTTGTGTGGTTCAAAATCAGAAAGGGTGTATGCCAAGGACGTATTCTGTCTCCATACCTTTTCAATCTATATGCAGATCATCCGGGGGGCTGGGCTGTATGGGGATTAATATGGCAACAGGGTTGGGGGAAGATTCATCAACAACTTGCATTATGTAGATGACTCTCCCTGCTAGCTAAAACAGAGGAGGACCTGAAGCACTTGCTGCAGAAGGTCAAGGACTGCAGCTTTCAATATGGATTGAAGCTCAACACCAAGAAAACAAAGATTCTCACCACTGGGGCAATTGGCAACATCATAATGGATGGTGAAAAGATTGAGATTGTTAACAGCTTTTGTTTCCTTGGCTCCACAATCAACACTCTTGGTACTGGCAGCCAGGAAATTAAAAGACTAATCACATTGTGACAGCCAGCTGTCAGGGACTTCTCCAGAATACTGAAGAGCAATGACATCATTCTGGACACTAAAATGTACCTGATCCATACCATAGTTTTTGCATTTGTTTGCTATGCATCAGAGAGCTGGACCATGACAGGGGATGATAGAAAGAGAATGGATGCCTATGAACTGTGGTGATAGAGAAGAGTGTTGAATATACCATAGACTGCCAGAAGAATGAACATGTTAATCCTAGAGAGGGTTAAACTAGGCTGTTCCTTGGAGGAAAGAATTCTTAGGCTTCATCTGACATACTTTGGGCATGATGCAAGTAGTGGTCCTTGGAGAGGGACAGCATGCTTGTAACAATGGCGGGACAGAGAAAGGGAGGGAGACCATTGATGAGATGGATTGACACAGTGACTGGGGTAATAAGTGTAGGTGTATCTGTGACTAGGGTAATAAGTATAGGTGTGTCTGAGACAGTAAAGTTGGCACAGGATAGAGCAGGTTTCAGGACTGTTGTATATAGGGTTTCTATGAGTCACAAGCGACTCGACGGCACATAACAAGACAACAATGAGAATTATTGCATGAAACACCATGTGAATGAAGAAAAGTGTGAAACATCATATTCACGACTTTTGTATGCAAACAAATATAAAATAAAATTTAAAAATAATGATTTTTAGGTTTGAGCTAAATAGTAAAATATATAGAATATGAAAAGCTCTTAGCAAATGTGAAGGTATTTTTTAAATGGCTATTATTTCTTTGGATAGTGTTATTCTTGTAATCTATATTGTTAAAAGAATAACGACCTCAGGGGTGACAGCCATATATGATCTTAACCAACTTTACAAAGGGGAACTGTCCCTTGCAACAACTTCAGCAGTACAAAACCAAGTCCCAAGAGGTTAGACATCTACCAACCCAATGCTCTTGCACTCCTTCTACACATCCCAGCACCATTAGTGCTTTATTGGGTTCAAAATCATATGTGGTAACTCATAGAACTATATTGAGGATATCAGAATATTATATTCCATGTTAGTAGCAGAACGGTTAGGACAGCTTCTGAAATGTGTTTGCAGGTGCCTCAGCATTGAGCCTCGAGGCTTTAGGCCAATGTTACAAAGCTCTCAGTACTGCAAATTATGCCCCATTCCCATCCTCAGTCGTCCAACAAGCTTGGACAAAGGCTTTTAGCTCCGGTTCCAATGGTGTAGCAGCGCTAAAGCCCATCTCATGTCAGGTTTCTGGTTCTGGGCTGGGGTTGTTCCTGTAGGTTCTCCTCCTCTGTCTGGTGTCCTGAAGATCGAGTGGAATTCTCTTGCTTGATCTTTTCTGGTAGCAAGGATCCTCATTCGGCAGCTGGGTCTGCACAGTTTAAAGATGAGACTAGTCAATCCCCTTGTAGATAGGTTAACATTCCCTATTCAAATATTCCCACCCATCCACATGGCAAAGTCAGATTAATGAATAGGAAAGCCATTTTGAATGTTAAACTCCACAAATGATAAAAATTCTTTTTAATGATTATTCCTATTTTTTTTGCATTGAATATCCAAATAATATTTCACCAGATTCTCTTGTTGACTGTCTACATTGTTTTTAAGTTTTCACTCGCTGTTGTCTCTCGTGAAGTCAGAAGCAATCCCTAGCTGCCCTTCCAGCAGGTTTTCAGAGGCAGTAAATCACATGGGAGGAGAATGCCTTCTTTCTCCCATGGAGTAACTGGTGGATTCAAATGGCATACTTTTGCATTCTCAGTGAAATTCCTTAGCACAACTTACTAATAACGCTTCAGAGAATTTACCATGTGTCTCAAGAGATTTGTGTCTGGGGTTTTCCTGTGTATTTTATGAGCAGACATGTTATTTTAAGTATCGTGTAAATTTCCAAATTTCCATATGTAAACCATGCTTCTGAATGTCTAAATCTCCCAAAGAAATGTTCTCTGACTTTTCTTCATAGAAGCTTATTGTATATTTCAACTATTCTATTTTTTCCCTCTTTATTTAGTTGAGTCAGAGTTTACAAATCACATTAGTTTTACCATTCATATATGTTTTGTTTTATACGGTTGTAATTTAATTCAATCATTCACACTTATTTTGTTTTATAACAGCATAAGTACAATTTCACTGGGTGATTCTTACACATTTTATTTTACAGCATTAATCATTATTGATTAATGTCATTAATTATAGAATCTAGTGAGCCTTTAATTGTATATGTCTTTTGTCTTTTGCCTTTTGCTTCACTCAAACTATTAATTTACTTTGCTTTGCTTTTAAATTTGAGTGGAGGCCTTCATTTGGTTTTTCATATGATCATTCATAAACAATGTTTTAGAAATTAATTACCATTTATTAATGTGATTAATTTATTACAATGTGTAATCAAGCCCTTATTGTTCCCCCATTCACTTGTAGTCCAGTTGCTGTAGTGTTTTCCAGTAATATATATTACTCTTCCACCATGAGAGATGAAATAGAAATGAAGCCTTTGAAGTAGTTCTTCAGATAGCTTTTAGATAGGTCAAAAGAGACAGAGTAATTTCTGAATAATGCCCTCTGTGATCCTTTGGGGATCCCTAAGCCAAGGAATGGGTATAGCACAAATTCAGACAAAATGCTACAAATCTTTATTTTTTTTTTAATTGGAGTATTGGCTTACTTTTTTCTTTTCTTGATACAACATTTATTGATTGCTGTAAATTTTTCACTACTTTCTATAGACTGACAAAGTTAATTCTGATAGTTTGTTTCAGAAGGTGATAGAGTCAGAACCACAAAATTATCTACTCCATCACCTTGCTGAAGCCATTGATATCTGTCTTTTTGTATAACAAGTTTCAAATATTAGAAATTTTAAAAAATGAGAAATGTTAGGTCTCACTCTGCACATTTTTTTAATGATTTATAAACAAATTGCCTTCTAGACAGTTCAGATTTCCGTCCCCAATAAACTATAAGAGTGCTTTATTACTTTTATTAATCAAATTGCTAATTCAGATTGTTGTTGTTGTTGTTGTGTGCCATCGAGTCTCTTATGGCTCATAGTAACCCTATGTACAAGAGCCCTAAACGCCATTCTATCCTGTGCCAACCTCGCCGTCTCAAAAACACTCATTCCCACCACTCCACTCACAGAATCGATCCATCTCATTGAGGGTCTTCCTCTGCTGTGCCATCCCTTCACTCTGCCAAACATGATGTCCTTCTCCAAGGACCAGTCCCTTCTTGCAACATGCCCAAAGTATGTCAGACGAAGCTTCAGAATCCTTGACTCCAAGGAGCATTCTGGCTTCACCCTCTCCAGGACAAACCTGTTTGTTCTCCTAGCAGTCCATGGTATATTCAACACTCTTCTCTAGCACCACAGCTCAAAGGCATCAATTCTCTTTCTATCGTCCCTATTCACTGTCCAACTCTCCGATGCATAGCACGTAATTGCAAAGATTATAGCCTGGATCGGGAGCACCTTAGTCTCCAGCCTGATGTCGTTGCTCTTTACTACTCTTAAGAGGTCCCTCACAGCTGACTTTCCCAATACAATTTGTCTCCTGATTTCCTGGCTGCTGTTACAAGAGTGTTGACTATGGAGCCAAGTAAACTAAAACTGTTAACTATCTCAATCTTTTCCCCATCCATACTGATGCTGCCAATTGGCCCAGTGGTGAGAATCTTTGTTTTCTTGATGTTGCGCTTCAATCCATATTGGAGACAGCAGTCCTTGACCTTCTGCAGCAAGTGCTCCTCAGTTTCAGCAAGCAAGGTTGTGTCATCTGCATTCAGATTACTAATCTCTAAAACAAATAATACTGTTTTAATAATTTCTCAACATGCATTTCCCTTATTATTCTCATATTCTTAAGTCACATGTTTATGCTAGTAAGGCCTTGTATGTGAGTTGAAATGAGGGAGTTGCCAACTTGTGCAGCTAACAACCTTGAGGGCAGCCTCCTTTATCTCCTAAATGCCATTGCCTCTTTCACCAGACAGTAATGATGTATGTAATGTCCTATGTTTCTTTTTCTTTCATTGGATAACCTTCTATGACCTCTAGTTTTCTACTTTTTCTGAAGAAAATCTAAGTTATATAAGTTGGTTCTACAGTTGGTAGATGTACAAGCACTTAAACATATTTTGACAGAGGTCATAAATTACTGTGAAAATACAGCTAGAATTTGAGATTAACTGATATATATAGGCATTCACATGTGACCAAGATTTAATGTCTTCTTTCCATAGTTCCTCCAAGTTTTCAAAAACTCTGGGAAATAGGAAACATGCTTGATACAAGCAGAAGTAGTGAAGCCAAGGAAGTTATCATCAACAATCCCATTTCTCTTTACTGTGAAACTAACGCCTCACCTCCTCCAACACTGACATGGTACAAAGATGGGCATCCTCTGACCTCAAGTGACAGAGTATTGATTTTACCTGGTAAGGACTGCAATAAACAGAATTTTTAAAAATCTTATTTTTCCCCCAAATGTGTTTTCTATCATTTATTAAGTTGTAGTGATGTTAATTTTATTCCTAGAGATAGTCATTAATTGACATTTGGGTTGCAAAATTCTTCTGATATCCATGTTGCTTGGGTTGAAAATTAGATAATGGAAGAGAATATCTTAATTAACTCAAAATTAACTATAGGGTCATTCTGTCATTTTAACAATCTCTTTTGCTGAATCACTGGTGTAGTGGTTGCACAGGTCTGGGTTTAGATGTAAAACAACTGCTTGATTTCAGGTTAGCTACTTCAGTTACTCTCTAAGCCTCTACTTCATTTGTGTCAGATGAGAATAATAATCATAAAACCTAGCTAACAGGATTATTCAGAACACTTTATGAGATTCTATGTATAAAGCATTTTGCACCAAGTCTAGAATACAGAAAGTTCTCAATTTTTAAAAAGGCCTTTAGTTTCTTTGTGCCTCCATTTTTCTATGTGTTATTACAATTACTTCTGTGTCTATAATTAATGTATTAGTGTACATATTAATGAGATCTAACATACATTTTCAAGTAATTAGAGCTCACTTTATTAAATATATTTATTCTAAATAAATAAAAAATGTCACTTTCAAATATCTTAGTTATCACATTATATAGTAATGATAAACAAGATATCTAACTTGTATAATAAAATAGTTAAAGGCTTCTATTTTCTCTTAACAAGTTTTTAAATATACAGAACTTGTCAAAAAAGTATCAGACTTTATGTTTAAGATCAGTAGATTCTATATATCCAAATTTTATCTCAGATAATTAAAATATCTTGAAAAAATTTAGAAAGTTAAAGGACACTAAATAAAAATCACAAAAAAATATATAATATGTGATTCTAAACTGGATTTGAAATCTATACAATATCTATAAAGACAATTATGTAGCAATGATAAGTATGAATATAGACTAAAAATATTCCATAGTAGATTTGTATTGATTTTAAATATTCATTTTGATCATTATATAGTAATTAAGAGACCCTGGTTCTTCTGAAATCATATTCATTTATATTAAGGGTAAATGGTCTGACGTCTCCAACTTAGTCTCAAACAAATCTTAATGAAGAAAACTATAAATATACATACAGAATGACATATTCCTTCAAGGGAAAGAAAAGTGAATTTATTAGCAACAGTAACAGACATTTTTACTAAAAGAAGTTGAACTCAAGAAGTGACAGTAGAAATGTACAGAAGTAGTCAGTGTAAAAGACGTCATAGAAGAAATGGTTGTATGGTATGTAGAGACATAGCGGAATAGATATTTATGGTAAAAGAAGTTAGGTGAAATATGGAAAATTGGTGAGCAATGAGTGAAAGTATTTTACAATTCTAGCAATTTTTAACAAATCTTAAATCATCAATTTAATCTTTAATACAGTTATATTTTCTAAATTATTTGTTTAAAGTTATATTTTACATCTTTTCTGAATATTGCTTCCTCAAAGTTCTAACAGAAATGATAAATTTCTCTTAATTGTGTTCAACTCTATAAAACAAAGCAAATTTTTTTCAATCTGCACAGAGTATGATAAAAAACATAGTATAGCACTTCTTTTGTAGAAAAACCAAAACTAGCTATTAATTTCTTACATGATCTTATCTATAAAGTAAACACCTTTTCTGGAAGGCAGTTTGGCGTCCTCAAAAAGCTGAACATAGAAATTCCACATGACCCAGCTATTTCACTACTTGTAATATACCCTGAGAATATGAGATCTGAGGCACAAATGGAGATTTGTACAACAGTGTTCATAGCAGCATTATTCACCATCGCAAGAACGGAAACAGCCCAAATGTCCAACCACCCACGAATGGATTAAGAAATTATGATACATTCACACAATGGAATACTATGCAGAATGCAGGCGCAATAACTTTGTAAAGAATTAGCTAATTTGGGAGAGACTGGAGAGCATTATGCTGAGTGAAATAACTCAGTCCCACAAGGATAAATATTGTATAAGACTGTTATTGTAGAATGAGTATAAGGATCCACGAGAGGCGGGAGAGGCTGGAAGCAGAGAGGTATGTGGATATGCAGGGGAAGGGGGCATTAATAATTGAGTTGTACAAGTTGATAGGTGGAGGGAGGGAAATTGAAAGAATTTGTTCAAATTCGTACTCAAATATTGTAAATAAACTAGTAAAAAAAAAAGAAAGCAATGTTTGTAATGAAACTGCTATCTAGGTTTAAGACAAACTTGGTATCTCATATTAAGACTAATCCTGGGTATCACTAAAGATTGTATAAAACTAATCCTCAAAAGAAAATATAAGGAAGTCATTAGTCCTAAATAACTGTATATGACCTGTGTTTATGCTGTGATTTAAAGAAGTAAACCTCTTGGAATATATTTTTAGGAGGGCGAGTGCTGCAGATTCCTCGGGCTAACACGGAAGATGCTGGCAGATACACATGTGTGGCTGTGAATGAGGCTGGAGAAGATTCCCTTCAGTATGACGTCCGGGTGCTCTGTGAGCTTGCATTGTTCTGTATATTATGCATTCCTTCTCTCAGAAATATTTCAGGGCAACTAATGTTTGCAAGATGTTGCACTAAGCTATTTAGAGACTGCAATCTGAAATTATGTACTTAAGGAGTTCATTATTTTCTATATAATGGCAATGCATTAGTCAGATCTCCTTGTTCCTTCAGATTACACAGTGGCTTAAGGGGGAAGGGGAGATAAGTTTTTTGACTTAAGAATCTGTGAAGTCCCATGGTAGATCTACTTTAGAAAGTCTGACTTCTATGGATCAAAAGAAAGCAAGCAGTCTTTGCTCTTTCTTTATCTTAGCTTTGTTGGTTTTTGTTTTTGTTTTCTTTTTTCCTTAGCTTTACTCTAACTTTGTGTATTAGTGGTGTGCTTAACAGGCCTAAAACTATATCCACAAATGAAAGGTCTTCTTTCTAGGATTTACCCTTGAATCCCTCACATAGAATTTTCAAAACTTTGATTAGCCAGGTATGAGTCATATATCATCCTTGAACTAATTACAGTGGCCAAGGGGTTGCAATGTTCTGATTGATAGTAAAATATAAACAAACAAAAACAGTTGTCACCAAGTCTCTTTCAACTCATAGTGACCCTGTGGGACATACAATATGAGAGTCTGTTTCTAAGGCTGTAAATCTTTACGGGAACAGAGTCCCTTAGGGTTCTTTGGTGGTGTTGTGTTTTTTTTTTTTAAGTTATGTAGTCTTTTATTTGTTTTCTTTCTATTTTTTTTTTCAATTGCCAATGATATAATTACACTTTGGTAAACAATTAACAATCAGGTACCTAGGAAACAACATTGATGATAGCAGCAGTTGGGAAGTGAAAAACATTGCAAGAATCTGCTATCAATAAACTCTTCAAAGTTGGTTTGTTTTGTTTTTTTTCAACGAGTTGCAGAAAGAAGAAGGTAGAGAAATGTTTATCTAGAATTGAGCGTAGTATTGAATGCTAAAGCATCTTTAACTAAAAGATCATTGTTGAAATTTGAATTCTCAGTTTAGCTTGTGAGTGTTGTTCAGACTCACAAAACAATTATGTTTTGAGCAACTGACTATGAATTAAAGGAAACAAATGCAGAGTGTTCTTAAGACATTTTTCAGAGAAGGAAAAAAATTGAGTAATAGAGGTTTGGGATATTTTATTGACATTAAACTAAGATAATTGAAGAGCATTTAATTTTTCCCATGAGCAAAAGGAAATTATCATAGAACAAAATAAAGCTAAGAAGGCTAAGTTATCCTTGTATGGGTAAAGAGAGAAAAACTAGAATGTTAAAACAGGAACAATGAATGAATGAAAATCCAAAATCTCTGTAAATGTTCATTAAAATTAATAAAAGAAATTTTTTAAAAAAGGGAAATGTAAGAAATCACATCAAAATTCCCAGTTCTTTCCATTTAGTAATAGAGTAACATTAATTACTCTAATTAATTAATTAAGGTATATGCCCCTAAGAGGGATGCTGTGTACTACAAGTCAGAACTGACCCATAGCCGACCCTCCAGGCCAATTTACAGAGGAGATAAATCACATAGGAGATCGCTCACCCTTCTCCCAGGCACAGCTGGTAGTTTCCACCTGTGTGCTTCAGGATTGCAGCATAGATTCTTACCACGAAGGCCACCAGCACTCCCTTGTTGGAGCCATCTTACTCCATCTGAGTTTTCTCTCTCTCTCTCTTTTCTTATTTAAATATAATTTTCATTTTATCTTGGTTTACCTACGAAGTTCATACACATTGTTTTTCACACCAGATCTTTCCCAGTTCCCTTACCGACCCTTCCTCCACTCATCAGATAGTGACCCTCTAATTAACCCACCCCCACCCCACACCTCTGCACATCCTCACCCCTCTGCTCCCACCCTCCCCTCCTTGGATCCTCATACACATTCTACAATAATGGTCTTATACAGTATTTGTCCTTATGGGACTGTTAGTTCTATCTCTCATCATGTAATTCCATGTCTCCAGCTAGGCATTTGACTTAGTAACCTGAGGCAGAGGGAGATAGATAGGGTCTTTTATGAGGGCGCCACAGGTATGCATTGTGGAAGCACTGAAGGATGGGAAGTATAAAATATGCATTGAGATAGAGCATCATTGACATGGCCTGCTATGAGATCTTGCCTAGGCAAGAGCATAAGAAGCCTGGGAAAAGGTAATGGGCTCAGTGTACGGAGGGAAGCGTGAAAGGGGCTGGAGTTTCCAGTGCAAACTAAAAGCAGGTAACAGAAAAAGACCTAAAAAAATATGGAAGTTGGAAAATATGACAGTTCAAAATATATTTACTTAACAAATATCTGCTATATCTTTTGAATGATCATTATGAACCAGCCATTATGCTGAAGCTCAAGTTTATTATTCACTAACTAAAGTTCAAGTTATGTTTTATGTTATTTTGAAAGTATGTTAAAAATCCATAACTTTTAAAGCAAAAATACGTATGCAGAATAACATTTCAATTCTATTATTTCCTTATAGCATGAATTTTTTTTCTCTCCAATACTCAGTTTGGTTTTGGGTGTGAGAGACCCAGATATTGCAATAATGCATCAGTATTAAACATACAGTCTTCACTGATTGCTAAAGATACCATACATTTTAAGAGCATGAAACAAAGTAACTAAACTTTCAAAATAAAAGAAACCTCCTATGATTATTCACTTTGAAAATGGATGTCTGCATTTATAAAAGTAGTCAAGATGTGTATTCCTTTCTTTGCCTACTTCCATTTTAGAAAACAGTATGCATATCTGGTTCTCATAAGTGACTGATCTGACCTAAGGTGTCCATGCATCTGGATTTTATAATAATACTGTAAATG